CAGTATTTCTATTTTTAATCTTTTTTTTTTAAGATTTTATTTATTTATTTGACAGAGAGAGAGACAGCGAGAGAGGGAACACAAGCAGGGGGAGTGGGAGAGGGAGAAGCAGGCTTCCCGCGGAGCAGGGAGCCCAGTGCAGGGCTCGATCCCAGGACCCTGGGACCATGACCTGAGCCGAAGGCGGATGCTTAATGACTGAGCCACCCAGGCGCCCCAATACTTTTATTTTTTTAAAAGATTTTATTTATTTATTTGACAGAGAGACAGCGAGAAAGGGAACACAAGCAGGGGGAGGGGGAGAGGGAGAGAGAAGCAGGCTCCCCGCTGAGCAGGAAGCCCGATTCGGGGCTCGATCCCAGGACCCCAGGATCATGACCTGAGCCGAAGGCAGACGCCTAACGACTGAGCCATCCAGGCACCCCTCTATTTTTAATCTTTTGAGGACCCTCCATACTGTTTTCCAGAATAGCTGAACCAGTTTGCATTCCCAACAACAGTGCACGAGAGTTCCTCTTTCTCTGCATCCTTGACAACACCTGTTGTTTCTTGTGTTGTTGACTTTAGCTATTCTGACAGGTGTGAGGTGGTATCTCATCGTGGTTTTTATTTGCATTTCCCTGAGGATGAGTGATGTGGAGCATCTTCTCATGTATCTGTTGGCCATTTGGATGTCTTCTTTGGAGAAAAGTCTGTTCATGTCTTCTGCCCATTTTTAAATTGGATTATTTGGTTTTTGGGTGTTGAGTTGTATAAGTTCTTTATGTAATTTAGATACTAATCTTTTATAGGATATGTCATTTGCAAATATCTTCTCCCATTCAGTAGGTTGTCTTTTAGTTTGTTGGTTGTTTACTTTGCTGTGCAGAAGCTTTTTATCTTAATGTAGCCCAATAGTTTAGCTTGCTTTTATTTCCCTTGCCTCAAGGGACCTATCTAGAAAAATGTTGCTATAACTGATGTCAGAGACATTACTGCCTGTGCTCTCTTCTAGGATTTTTATGCTTTTAGGTCTCACATTTAGGTCCCTAATCCATTTTGAGTTTATTTATATGTATGGTGTAAGAAAGTGGTCCAGTTTCATTCTTCTGCATGTGGCTGTCCAGCTTTCCCAACACCATTGGTTGAAGAGACTGTCTTTCTCCCATTGCATATTCTTGTTCCTTTGTTGAAGATTAATTGACCATATAATTGTGGGTTTATTTCTGGGTGCTCTATTCTGTTCCATTGATCTATGTGTCTGTTTTTGTGCCAGTACCATATAGTTTTGATGACTGCAGCTCTGTAATATAACCTGAAGTCTGGAATTGTGATGCCTCAAGCTTTGCTTTTCTTTTTCAAGACTGCTTTGGCTATTTGAGGCGTTTGTGGTTCCAGATTTTTAAGTTTGTTTCTTCTAGATCCGTGAAAAATGCTGTTGGTGTTTTGATAGGGTTGCATTAAATCTGTGGATTGCTTTGGGTAGAATAGACATTTTAATAATATTTGTTCCTCCAAGCCATGAGCATGGAATGTCTTTCCATTTCTTTGTGTCCTCTTAAATTTCTTTTTTTTTTTTTTTGGATTTTATTTATTTATTTGAGAGAGAGAGAGACCCAGAGCATGAGTAAGGGGAGGAGGCAGAGGGAGAGGGAGAAGCAGGCTCCCGCTGAGCAGGGAGCCCAATGTGGGGACTCGATCCCAGGACCCCAAGATCATGACCTGAGCTGAATGCAGACTGAGCCACCCAGGCACCCCCTCTTCAGTTTCCTTCATCAGTGTTTTATAGTTTTCAGAGTATAAGTCTTTCACCTCCTTGGTTAACTTTATTCCTAGGTATTTTATTATTTTTGGTGGCAATTGTAAGGAGGATTATTTTCTTAATTTCTCTTTCTGCTGTTTCATTATTGGTGTATAGAAATGCAACAGATTTGGGGCACCTGGGTGGCTCAGATGGTTAAGCATCTGCCTTCAGCTCAGGTCATGATCCCAGGGTCCTGGGATCGAGCCCCGCATCGGGCTCCCTGCTCAGCAGGAAGCCTGCTTCTCCCTCTCCCTCTCCTCCTGCTTGTGTTCCCACTCTCGCTGTCTCTCTCTCTGTCAAATAAATAAATCTTAAAAAAAAAATTAAAAAAAAAATTAAAAAAAAGAAATGCAACAGATTTCTCATATTGATTTTGTAGCCTACGAACTTACTGAATTCATTTATGAGTTCTGGTAGTTTTTTGGTAGAGTCTTTAGGGTTTTCTATAGATAGTATCATGTCATCTGGGAATAATGAGAATTTTACTTCTTCATTATCAATTTGGATACCTTTTATTCCTTTTTCTTGTCTGATTGCTGTGGCTAGGACTTCTAGTACTATGTTGAATAACAGTGATGAGAGTGGACATCCTTGTCTTGTTCCTGACCTTAGGGGAAAAGCTCTCAATTTTCCCCCCATTGAGTATGACGTTCGCTGTGGGTTTTTCATAGAAGGCCTTTATTATGTTGACATATGTTCCCTCTAAACCTACTTGTCTTTTTTTTTTTTTTAAAGATTTTATTTATTTGACAGAGAGAGAGACAGCCAGAGAGAGAACACAAGCAGGGAGAGCAGGAGAGGGAGAAGCAGGCTTCCCGCAGAGCAGGGAGCCCGACGCGGGGCTCCATCCCAGGACCCCGGGACCATGACCTGAGCTGAAGGCAGATGCCCAACCATCTGAGCCACCCAGGCGCCCTAAACCTACTTGCTGAGAGTTTTTATCATGAGTAGATGTTATACTTTGTCAAATGCTTCTTCTGTATCTCTTGAAATAATCATACGGTTCTTATCCTTTCTCTTATTGATATGATGTATCACGTTGATTGATTTGTGAATATTGAAGCACCCTGCAACCCAGAAATAAATCCCACTTGATCGTGGTGAGTGATTTTTTTAAATGTATTGTTGGATTTGGTTTGCTGGTATTTGTGGGGGGGTAGTTTCATCTCTGTTCATCAGGGTTATTGGGCCCGTAGTTCTCCTTTTGTAGTGTCTTTACCTGGTTTTGGTATTGGGGTAATGCTGCCCTCATAGAATGAGTTTGGAAGTTTTCCTTCCTCTTTTACTTCACAGGGCATTTTTAAGATGATTTCAGGTGGTGTTTGGAAACTTAACTGTAATGACCAGAGGAAAGTGTGTGTGTTGTGACAGCTTCGAGCCAAAAAAGAAGTGTGTGGGGTCGGGGCGCCTGGGTGGCTCAGTCGTTAAGTGTCTTCCTTCAGCTCAGGTCATGGTCCCAGGGTCCCGGGATCGAGCCCGGGATCGAGCCCAGCATCGGGCTCCCTGCTCCGTGGGAAGCCTGCTTCTCCCTCTCCCACTCCCCCTGCTTGCGTTCCCTCTCTCGCTGTGTCTCTCTGTCAAATGAGTGAATAAAATCTTTAGGAAAAAAAAAAAAGTGTGTGAGGTGGACCCAGCCAAGTCCTGGGGAGCCGCCCTTTACGGGAAAGAGGCAGATGCCCCCACATTTGAACAGCATAGTTCTCTCCCATTAAACACATGTTGGTGTTTTTGGTGAGGGCTCCTGCCTGACTAACCAGCTGGAAAACGGTGCACTTAAGCGGGAAGATCAGCCTCTAACAACCTGTCTTTCTCAGGGAGTGTCATGGGGCGACTGTGTCCTCCATGCCCAGTGCCTTGGCCTGTGATCTAATTTGGATGTGATTAGTTACGATGAGGTTGTCCTGGAGTAGGGTGTCCAATATGACCTGTGTCCTTATAAGAAGGGGACGCTGGGACCCAGGCTCGCAGGGAGAAGGTGTGGGAACATGGAGACCGGGTGGTGATGCTTCTGCATCCAAGGATGGCCAGGGACTGCCAGCCGCCCCCAGAAGACAAGACAGGCCTGGACACGGCCTTCTGCGGAGCCGTAGAGGGAGCCCATCTGGGCCTCTGGCCTCCGGGCTGTGCGGGAATCCAGTTCTCTGTTTGGGCCGCCTGGTCTGGGGCACTGTGTTCTGGAAGTCCCCGGAAGCTAACAGTGGTAGCAGAGAGAACATGGCAGACAGATTAGGAAATGGTATCAGGAGAGTGCCTCGCGGGAGGGCACCACACCAGAGTGCTTCCCAAGGTGGAACCTCTGGTGCCTCTGGGTGCTCCGGCCCTGGAGGCCTCCTCCCTTGAGCTGGTTTGAGCTGGGGTTTCGGAAGGTTGTAGGGCTGAGGCTGTAATGTCTGCTTCCAGGCCTTTCTGCCCTGTGGGTTTTGTTTGTGTAGGAAGCCCTTGCTTTGTTTTGTTTTTATTTTATTTTATTATTATTATTATTTTTTAAGATTTTATTTATCTGAGAATGAGAGAGAGAACACGAGAGGAGAGAGGGTCAGAAGCAGAAGCAGACTCCCTGCTGAGCAGGGAGCCTGATGCGGGACTCGATCCTGGGACTCCAGGATCATGACCTGAGCCGAAGGCAGTCGCTTAACCAACTGAGCCACCCAGGTGCCCTGTTTTTATTTTTAAAAAAGATTTATTTTATAGAGAGCCAGCAGGGAGGTGGGGGCGGGGCGCGAGGGAGCAAAGCCGACTCCCCGCTGTGCACAGAGCCCGACGCGGGGCGCAGTCCCCGGACCCTGAGATCATGACCTGAGCTGAAACCAAGAGTCGGACGCTTCACTGACTGAGCCACCCAGGCGCCCCCGTTTTATTTGTAAAGATGTGTCCTCAAGGGTGTGGGATGAGGCTCCCTTGGGTTATTTCACCTAGATTGTACATTTGGGTAAGAAAGCCACTTCAGCAACTAATGGGCGTTTGCCTTCTGTGCCGAGAGGCGGCCGCCCTGTGTAGGGTTCTGTTCAGAAGCCGGTTACTGCGGCGGTCAGCCTTGAACCCAGGAACTCACTGCAGACGCTGCTCAGGTCCACCCGCCTGGTGGCTGCCGGCGGCCGGAGGCACAGGCTCTGACCCTGCGCGGCGGCCGGGCTCTCGAGGAGGGTGCGCTCCGCCGAACCTCCACGGGCGTGTCTGTGTCGACGGGTGGCTAACTCGCGTGTTCTTGCCCCCGCAGAGTCTGTAGAACAGCAACACCAAGGCTTCCCCATGAACAACCGGAAGGAAGACATGGAAATCACGTCCCACTACCGTCACCTGCTCCGCGAGCTCAATGAGCAGAGGCAGCACGGCGTCCTGTGTGACGTCTGTGTTGTGGTCGAGGGCAAGGTCTTCAAGGCGCACAAGAACGTCCTGCTCGGCAGCAGCCGCTACTTTAAGACGCTTTACTGCCAGGTGCAGAAGGCGTCCGACCAGGCCACGGTCACACACCTGGACATCGTCACGGCCCAGGGCTTCAAGGCCATCATTGACTTCATGTACTCTGCCCACCTGGCCCTCACGAGCAGGAATGTCATCGAGGTGATGTCCGCGGCCAGCTTCCTGCAGATGACGGACATCGTGCAGGCCTGTCACGACTTCATCAAGGCAGCGCTGGACATCAGCATCAAGCCAGATGCCTCGGACGAGCTTTCGGAGTTTGAGATTAGTGCCCCTCCCGGCAGCAGCACGGATGCGCTGATCTCGGCTGTGATGGCCGGAAGGAGCATCTCCCCGTGGTTGGCTCGGCGCATGAGTCCTGCCAATTCTTCCGGAGACTCGGCCATCACCAGCTGCCACGAGGGAGGAAGCAGCTACGGGAAGGAGGACCAGGAGCCCAAGGCCGATGGTCCTGATGACATTTCCTCGCAGTCGCTGTGGCCTGGGGATGTGGGCTACGGGTCTCTGCGGGTCAAGGAAGAGCAGATCTCGCCGTCTCATTACGGAGGGAGTGAGCTGCCTTCCGCCAGGGATGGTGTGATACAGAACTCTTTCTCAGAGCAGGCTGGAGGCGATGGCTGGCAGCCCACAGGTCGAAGGAAGAATCGGAAGAACAAAGAGACAGTCCGGCATATCACACAGCAGGTGGAGGACGATAGCCGGGCCGGCTCCCCAGTGGCCTCCTTCCTTCCGACGTCTGGGTGGCCGTTCAGCAGCCGAGACTCAAGTAAGCCTTTTGTTTTTTACGGGCAGGGCTGAGACCCCGTTGGGCCACCGCGGCCCCAAAGCGCTGCACGTCGGTGGCCCTGTGGCCGTTAGTTATGTAGGTGAAGCAGGCATTCCAGGCCCATGCCGGTGCCTTCCCGTGGGCCGTCTCTGGTCGCGGTAGGTTGGTACAAGTCCAGGGAGTAGGACGTTGGGGACCCCATCAGTACAGTGTCCACGTCACCGGCACACGGGCTGCCTGGGGTAGGGCCTCTTTAAAGGTGAGGGGTCAGCAGCTGGAAAAGTGGGGTCAACTTGAAGGGTCTGCTTTCCTTTTCATAGGGGAGCCATTCGTAAACACCAATTTTAAATGATTGAAACGTTAAAGTGTTAAAAGGTGGAAACGTGCATCAGATGAGGTGACATGAAGGTGGGACGTCGCAGACGCTCACCGTCCCGCGGCCTCAGTCCTGGGTTTTCTCTCCAGGAGACGTGGGTTTCGGTCATTGTTGTGACATTGAGCAAACTGTCACATGCCCGTGTTTGTCCCTGGCCAGGAGCTTATCTTGACCTGGGGGGACCCGAAGGCCTCTGGCGGTAAAGCACCCCTCGCAACGAGGGATGTCCCCTCGTTTTCAACCAATACAGGTCCGCTGGTTCAAGCTAGCAGACGTGTCATTTTCTTGCATTTGCTGGGTGTTGCTACACAGCAAGGGCCCCCCCGCCCGACCACGCGTCTGGCCCCGCGTTAGGGTCAGCGCCGCTCCGTGCTTAGCTTTGCTGAATCTGGTCCTCGCAGTCTGGATGACAGTTCTGTGTCTGTCTCCCAGACGAGTGGATAACAAAGTAGACATTTACCGAAACATCGGGCGCCCTTCCTGGTGCTGAACCTGTAATGCTTACAGCTGGGCTAGCCCTTCCCCGAGGCAGACGGGGGACCCGCTCCCTCCAGCCCCAGGTGCAGTGGGGTGGGGAGGGATGAGGAAAGGCATTTGGTGGATCAGAGTTGGTCCAGAGCAGGATGGAGGCATCTTACAAGTTCTTGTCCTGGGGAGGGCCGTTCAGGAAGGTCAGCAATCATCCGGAACATGGGAATGGACTGAGGTGAACGCAGCAAACTGGGGTAATAGTCCTGAAAAGTGTCATGGATGCTAAGCATCCTGTGCTCAGGTTGGGGGGCGCCTGCCCACTCCCCCGGCCCAGAGGCTTCCTGGGCCGGGCGACTGGGGCCCCTGCATGAGCCCGGGCTCCTCCTCTCTGCTGTCAATACGCTAGCTTTTATTATCGTGGTAAGATGTATATGCCATAACCCTCGCTCTTTTAACCCTTTCTAAGTATGTAATTTATTGGCATTAAATACATTCACATTGTTATGCAACCGTCATTACTGTTTATCTTCAAAAGGTTTCCATCACCCCAAACTGAAACTCTTATCCATTAAGCAGTGCCTCCCTGAGATGCACTGTGGCCTGTATTATTCCTTGTCATTCTCTGTCCCCGTGTGTTCCCAGCCCCGAGCGCATGGCCAGACCCCTGTATGTTCAGTACAAGTTGGCTGAACCATGATTTTTCAACCTTGGGCTGGATGACTCTGCCATGGGGACTGTCCTGGGCGCTCTAGGACGGAGGCGGCATCCCTGACCTCCATCCACTAGATACCAATAGCAACCCATCCCCAAGTTTGCTGACAACCAAAAGTGTGTCCAGGCATTATAAATGTCTCTGATGGGCAGCACCCCACAGCTTTTGGAGTTTAACCGAGCTGAGAAGAAGGTGAAGTTTCCAAGCTGGTAGAAAAGCCACCTGCCTGTCTCCCTGTTAGCTGTTTGCAGGGAGAGGTACACTCCGTATGCTCCAAACCTTGTAATCTGTCACCAGCCCTGACTAAACTCTGAGAAGCAACAGTCCCTGGCGAACGACTTAAGGACAGATGCTCTGTGTGGAACCTTCTGGGGTGGTCAGTGCCGCAGTCCTGTCCTGGGACACCTGCTTGAGTGCCGTGAGCCGCCCAGCGGGCTGCGATGCTGGAGGTCTTATGGTTCGAGGGCCCATCTGCACAGTGAAGAATGTTTGCTCCTCAGGCCTGTGGGTTTGAGGTTTTAAATGCAGTTGTCAAGCAGAAGATGTTTTTAGAATCCAACAAGTGATTCGGCTGTGTACTTTTGTTAATGTCTTAAATCCCTTGGGTTACCAAGGCAACTGTGAACCGCTTCTGTTAGATTATTCTGAGTTGCAAAGACAAGGACATGAGGTTGTAGGCTCGCCTAGGATGGTTTCTGCCGGCTTTGGTGGCCATTATTCCTCCACTCTCGCCCTGGGGCTGGGTGTGGAAGTGTGAATTGCAATCCCAGTGGAGGTCAGTTTGTTTTCATTAAATATCTATTACCTCTCTTCGAGAAGAGTATTTTTAAATTCTCGTCCTATTTGTAGGAGAAAGGACCCTATTCCAAGGGAATGTGTCAGGTGGTTATTGCAGATCATTTGGGGGCTCAGTACAGATGCTCGGATACCCAAGGCTGCATGCCCTGTCCCTTCTGTGTGTCCCCACCTTGACTTGTGGTGATTTGGAGTCTGTTAGCATTTAAGAGTGATTTTTCCAAGCAAAAGGCCAAGAGCTTCCACGAGAACGTCCGTTGAAATTTACTTCTGAGTTATAGCAGTTCGCTTGTGTGACAGCTCGAGGGCGCAGGTAGGCTGCAGTAAAGTCGTGGCCAGACCCCCGTTCCTTCTCCTCGTCCTCCTTGGGTCCCTGGCTTCCCCCTTTGTGTGCGACCCCGAGATGGCCCCAGGCCCCCGATGAGGTGGATCTGTAGCTGCTAGTTCAGAAGCTGGTATGGGAAGAGCCCAGGTGTTTGTCCTAATGTCCCATACATGTTCCTAAAAGGTTTTGTGAAAAAGAGAGTTCTGTAGCTAGAATAAAATGTGTGGGTTTTGTAAAGTAAATGTTTATACCTATATTTTTGTGAAGTTGGGTCTTTAGTTGTAAAGTTGGACGTACTGGGATTTTTAAGAACGTGTTGGAACCACAGGACGGCTTCGGGTGAAGGTGGTCTCTGTAGGCTCCCAGCCGGCTCCTCATGCCCTTGTGGCCTCTTGCCTGTGCGGGGGAAGGGGGAGGGGCAGGTGCGCCATCTTGCAGGCTAGGGGAGTCCACGCTGCCCCTGCTGAGGTCAGAGGGTCCTTGCTGGGGCTGAGTAGGGAGGAGACGTCCCAGGCTGGACTGTCTTAGTCTGCCCTCAGGCACCGTCCTAAACCACAGGAGGGCACGGATGGATTCGTTTGAGAAGCGGTGAAGCTTGTGAGTTTGAGTTAAGCTACACGTCGGTCCATGATCTGAGTGGAGACGTAAGGGACGAGCAGAGTGCCCAGCACCCAGGGCGTGATCCTCTGGGCACTCTGCTGGAAGCCAGCTTTCCACTGCCAACACTTGCGCGGACTTGATCGCTTCTCTCTCTCTCTTTGAAGATTTTATTTATTTATTTGACAGAGAGAAAGAGACAGCGAGAGAGGGAACACAAGCAGGGGGAGCGGGAGAGGGAGAAGCAGGCTTCCTGCGGAGCAGGGAGCCCGATGTGGGACTCGATCCCAGGACCCTGGGATCATGACCTGAGCCGAAGGCAGACGCTTAACGACTGAGCCACCCAGGCGCCCCATTGATCGCTTCTCTTAAAGAAAGTTGTCTTGCCTAGTCTGGTATTTGTGTTTGGAGGTAAAAGAGCCTGAATGAAAAGTGACACCACGGTATTGTGGGGCTGGGACTGGACCTGCCTCCCGCATCCACACTGTTGGACCCTGTTCCTGACACTTGAGCTCCACCCCTTGTCAGCCCCTCTGCTCTTCTCCTTTCCTCAAAAGTTTGAGCTCAGTTGTAGACCCCAGATGTTTTTCCTTCAGGTCTGAGCAGAATTCCTTGGAATCCGTTCTGGTTGACCTTGTTGCTGTCAGTCAGATGGCAGCTAAGGACCCGACAGAGACAGCAATCCTGTTTGTTGGAATATTGGCTGAGCGTGCGGAACGCAGGGGCCGTAATGGGCGCCCCTGCCGCTGGGATGAGAGGTAGCGAGGTGTCCTTTGTCTGATCTGGGAGGGTGGGAAACGCTGGTGACTCGGAACAGCGGAGCGGTAACAGAAGCCAGATGCCTGCGTGGGAAGGGGCCCCGCGGGTGGAGGCGTGCTGTGGGGGCATGCCCCGTGACTCGTGGCTCATCCACGCCCGGTGCTGTACTTCTGAATCATCGTCCTGGTTGCGGATCCTGGGACCTCGGCTTTGCTGAGCTCCTGCAGCTTCTTTTCCTACCCCAATGAAAGCGCTTCTTTTGCGTCCGGACTTTCTAGAACATGGAGTTCATGAAGGGTGAGTCTTTGAAGGGCTCTCACGACATTCAACTCAGCCCCCTGTTCTTCCAGGTGCAGAGACTGAGGCTGGGTGCTGCTGAGTGGCTTGTCCCCAGGGGTGCCCAGCAGGGCTGGGAGGACGCCCCACCCGGAGGGAGCTCTGCAGAAGAGCTGGAGTGTGTTCTGGGCTGGTGCCTGACAAGGCAGGCCACATCGTGAGGCTGTGTCAGGCTGGAGTAGGAGGTGGAGGTGCTTCTGGAAGCCCCTTGAGCCGAGCAGCCCTCCGGGCTCTGGCGACGGTGAGCTCAGGATCCCCAGAGTTCAGCTCAGGGGAATGTGCATGAGTTGGTATGATTGACATTTTGCTAAGCAGCACTGGGATGTGTCTTTGCAGAGAGTGTGACCACGTCCTTGTGCTCAAGGATCGTGCAGAAAGGAGCCCTCTCCAGCTCCCGAGTACAGGGGGCTGCCCCCCAACAGCCTCGCTGAGTTACCGTGCGTGTTCCAAAGCGAGCCTTCACTGCTTCGTGGTTGGTCCACACATGGGCAACCATCTCTGTGGATCCTGTTTTGATTTGAACTTGAGGGCTTGGTTTTCTTTAACCGAGTGCTTACTTTCTTTTGGTGTTTGTAGACCATGACAGTGATGCCCGGAGGGTCTTCTGACTTGGGGCTGCCTGTGTCTGG